GCCGGTAAGTGTGGACCAAGGTAAGTTTGAACTAATTCGAAATAAGGTACTTCGAACTTCAGCTACGTTATTCACGTAGCTGAAGTTGCGTACCTTAGTTCGAATTAGGGGGGGTAGTGTAGACCAAGCCTAAGAGATTTAAGTTTTGAAAGAATGATTTGTAACTGAAGCATCATTCAGATTTCATGGCTTCACTTGTGGAAGGAAAAACATACCGGTAATCAAATTGGAAGGTTTTCAATGCTTGCATAGTATTTGACACCTTTTAAGTGTTGGCATCATATGTTGGCCATTTCTCTGCAACAGTAGACAATACTGTAAGTTATCTCCTCCCAACAGCATCTTTCCTAATGGGCCGGTTTACCAGTTTCTTTCAGTCATTCATTTTTATTTCCTCCATGTGGGTATGTGGTACAAAATTTTCAACACACAGTATCAGATACTACATATACTATGACAAAATAGATAAGTAGGGCCCTACCAAATTCACGGTCATGAAAAACGTGTCACGGACCGTGAAATCTGGTCTCCCTCTGTGAAATCTGGTCTTTTGTGTGCCTTTACCCTATATTATACAGATTTCATGAGGGAGACCAGCATTTCTCAAATTGGGTGTCCTGACCAAAAAGGGAGCTGCGGGGAGGGGGTCGCAAGGTTATTTTAGGGGCATTCTGGTATTGCCACCCTTACTTCTGCGCTGCCTTCAGAGCTGGGCGGCCGGAGAGTGGCGGCTGCTTACTGAGAGCCCAGCTCTGCAGGCAACAGCGCAGAAATAAGGGAGGCAATACCATATCATGCCATCCTTACTTCTGCACTGCTGCTGGCAGCGGCTGTGCCTTCAGAGCTGGGATCCCAGCCAGCAGCTGCCACTCTCCAGCTGCCCAAGTCTGAAGGCAGTGCCAACGCCAGCAGCAGCACAGAAGTAAGGGTAGCAATACCGCAACCCTCTCCTACAATAACCTTGTGACACCCCCAACTCCTTTTTGGGTCAGGACCCCTACAATTACAACACTGTGAAATTTCAGATTTAAATAGCTGAAATAATGAAATTTATGATTTTTAAATCCATATAACCGTGAAATTGAACAAAATGGACCATGAATTTGGTAGGCCCCTATAGATAAGGCAACACCACCTGCAAGTACTTTCCCCTGAAAACAGTGCAAATCCTTACCAGCCTTATTTTTACTTGTTAGGGCTAAGATTTATTTATTAGTTAACTGGTTCTTTAATGATTTTCTATGGCTGAAGTTGGTGCACTGTACTCTTTCAAGCACTAAAAATGTAAGGTTTATTACTTTTAAAAAGACAGCAATTTTCAGGAATTATATCTTTCCTTTTTGTTAAATTATAGTGAAACCTTGTTTTTGCAAATAATAAATGTGTTGCACTTATTTAGCAAATCCAAAGATTAACAACTCTAGAATCAATTCACTTAATGTACTAGACATATAAACCTCTGGATGGTGCTAAATTTCAAAATAGTTAAACTTTTTCCTTTCCCAAGAAGTATAGTGCCCCTGTTAATGGGCACCTAGTCCACTGATTAAAACTGAATTAAAGTGTGATGGTGATAACCAGGCCAATCAGGTATTTGTATTTCTAATAGAATCAAAGTTTGGTTGATCTCCTCTATGTTGGAATCAGCATAACAGTAAACACACTGGATACACAAGCCGATCCAGAGACAGGACAAATCCTTCCCCTTATGAGGGCCCTCAAGAAGAACCCAAAGCTTGATACTTCTGGAACTCCTGAGCACAATAAAAGTAAACTCTGATGATCTCCCCTATTGTTAATGAAAAGCCACAGAATTTCTTTCTGTGATGAGGGAGAAGGATAGAAATTTGGGAGATAAATGTCCTGATTAAGGTGAAAGAATTAAACAACATTAGAAGGACAGACTGGCAGGTACAAAAGGACTACCTTTTTCTTATGAAAAATCATGAATGGAAGATTACAAAAGAATGCCACAAGCTTTCTAATTCTTAGGGTCAAAGAGATGATCACTAAGGCAGCTAGCTTCCACGTCAGAATAAGAGGGACTAATAGAGGGATTCATATGAGTTAGAGCAAAACGGATCTTAAAACCAAGTTAAGGCGACAGGGAGGCACTGGAGCCTTGACTTGGACCCATCACTTTGAAGTCAGACCAGACCCTATAGTATGCTATGCTCATTATTTGTTCTAGGATGCAACAAGCTGTTGAAGACCTTACTGAAGAAATTCAAGTTCTTGAGGAATCTCTTCTCAGGAGCCACATAGAGACTCAGCATTTCAAAAATGGGGGAAACAGAAAAGGGCCCTGATAAAGAAGGGAACCGCCTAAAGGGAAGGCTGTTTCAAAGGCTTTGTGGAACACACAAGAAACCACTCCAGAGCTCTGATCATGTGTCATCCCCCTTCAGGATGGGGAGAAGAAGTAACCTTCACCCTCAATAGACACAAAGTATCAAAATACACCTTTGGAGATGTTGATTTGAATGAACTGGGGTGATGACCTTTATCTGAATGAGATAAGAATTCACTAAATTCATGGATGATAGGTCCATCAATGGCTATTAGCCAAGATGGTCAGGGATGCAACTCCATGCTCTGGGAGACCCTGAGCCTCTCACTGTCAAATGCTGGGACTGGACAACAGGGGATGGAAAGCTGAAGATTATCCTGTTCTATTCCTTCCCTTTGAAGCATCTAGCATTGACCACTGCTGGAAGACAGGATACTGGGATATATGTTCCATTGGTCTGACCCAGTATGGCCATTCTTATGTTCTTATTTTAAGGGTCAATAATATTTTCCCTTCTTTTTATGAGTTTGTTGAATAGAAGGAAAAGACTGAAGTTCTATGAAATAGCTCTTCCTCATGACAAAGACCCAGACACTGGAAAAGGTCATGGCTCATTGGTCTAAGTCAGAAGCTCCCAAACTATTTTTGCTGCAACCAATGTTCCCTCTAATTTTTTACATCCATGTGTGAAATGAATTTTGTTATGTGCACCAATATGAAGATGATGTGTGGCGGGGGTGGAGCCAAGGAGTTCAGAGTGTGGGAGGGAGCTCAGGGCTGGGGCAGAGGGTTAGGGTGCGGTAGGGGAGTAAGGGATCTGAGGTGGGGCCGGGGATGAGAGGTTTGGGGTGCAAGCTGTCCCAGGGAGAGAGGACTTCCCCGAGGCCTCTCTCACTGCAGCAGCTTGGGGCTGGGGGAGAAGCGCCTCTCCCTGCCTGCACGGCGCTTGATAGCCCGCTGCATGGCTATGCAGCTTAGAGGGAACTTAACTCTCCAAAGTGGAGTGCGCAGCTATCTCCCATGTGTGCCCCCCACTTCTAAAAAAACAGTATTTTTGCAGAAAACAGGAGAAATTTATTTTCTCAGCTAGCATAAAGAGGAGAGGAGTTTGTAATGTGTGGTGAGAGATGTGCAAAGGGGTGGGGAGGACGACTGCTCCAGGATGGATCCTCCTTGATATCATACATTTGACTAGCCCCTGTCATTCCCAACCTTAGGAGTCCAGCCAGGAGTCTACTGGGAGGACAAGGGAGGTGTATCAGACCTCCCTCAGGCTAGGATTTTCAGACACCAGCCTCCCCTCTCCCCAATCTGACAAAAAAGGGGCCTGGGCCACAGGTCCCATCCCAGCCATCTCTCAGCAGCAGAAACCACCATGTCCCTGGATATCTACTGCTGGGCAAATGGAGGGCAGTGCTTAGCCCTGTCATGCCACAGCGCTGGAGACACCAATGACTCGGGAAAGCATTACAAAGCCTGGCCAAGCCCTTCACCTGAGTTCCTGCAAAAGGGGTGACCCAGAGCTGCTGCCTCCTCCTGACAGGGCCAAGCATGTCCCCAGGAACAGAAGTGCTTCCACACCTCCACATCCTACAGCAATGGGGGAGGGGCCACATGTGCCCTGTCAGGGGGGGGAGGGAAGGATATTATATTTCAAGTTCCCAAATAGTTCCACTGCCAGGAGGGTGTGTTGGGGGGGGAGGGGGAGGGGGAGGGTACGGTTACTATCGCAATACCATACCATGCCATGCCATCTTTATTTCTGTGCCGCCCAGCTCTGAAGGCAGAGCCACCGCCAGCAGCAGTGGAGAAGTAAGCGTGGCAATACCATATCTTGCCACCCCTACTTCTGCGCTCCTGCAGAGTGCCAGCGCTACCTTCAGAGCTGGGCTCTCAGTCAGCAGCAGCTGCTCACCTGCCCAGCTCTGAAGGCAAGGAAAAAGGACGAGCAAGGAAAAATCACAGACATCTGTTCGTATTTTGAAAACCAACAGTTTAAGTAAAGGCAGCCTCCCACAAAGACGCAAGTGGAACCATAGAATAATAGGAACACTAGACTGGAAAGAGGTGGTCCTGTCCATCCCACCACATGGAGGGATGAGGGAAAAGAAGACGGTTGCTGCTAGACTTCCATTGTTTCTGGAACAGCATGGGTTT